TGCCTCTCCAAACCCAACACGGGATTTCCCCCAAAACCTTCTCCAATCAGTATCCATGTGAGACTTCATGCTCCCGACCACTTGAACCCGCAGGGACCGACCACTTCTGTGGCCTTAATAAATGGCCACGTTGGAAGATACCCAGGCCAGGAAAGAAACAGAGGAAGGCCTCATTCTGCTGCTTGTGCCCCATGAGGTTGGTTTCACAGGACCTGAGAAAACATAGGCTGCAAATTCCTGCCCGTGCACAGGGCAAAGGCCACAGGCACCTGCTGTGCGGCTGAGCCCCAGGCCAGGGCGAGGCTGGGATGTGCTGACTTGCCCTCTCTGTGCCTGAGGCCATGCTGGCTAAGCGTCAGGGAGTTTCTCTCTCCAAATCACCTTAGGCTTGGGGGGCCAGCCCCATGCTTCCCCTCCCCATGGCTGGCATGGTGCCCAGGAGTGGCATTCCCATCATCGTCCTAGCATCTGAGAACCACAGGGACCCAGGCTATGAGTCTGGAGCTTGGCCTTCTAGCTGGTGAGCTCTGTGACCTGAGGCCCCTTGAGTGCCCTCTGCATGAGATGGACAGGAAAGCAGCTGCTTTCAGTGGTCTACACAGTGGCAGTCTGTGTCCCACAGGACAACCAGCACCAATGTCTAGGTACCTTTCCTCTGAAAGAGGAAGAAAAGAACAAACGTCAAAAACCTAAAATGCCACTCCTCCCTCACTAGGATGGCTATTAGCAAAAAAGAAAACAACGAGTGTTGGCAAGGATGTGGAGAAATTGGAACCCTCATACACTGCTGGTGGGAATGTAAAATGGTGCAGTCACTGTGGAAGACAGTGTGGCACTGCCTCCAAAAGTTAAGCATGAAATTACCACGTGACCCAGCCTAGGCATATACCCGAGAGACTTGAGAGTAGGGACTCAAACAGGTACTTGTTCATCAATGTTCATTGTAGCGTTAATCACAATAGCCAAAAGGTAGAAACAACCATGTCCATCAACAGAAGAATGGATAAACAAATGTGGCATATCCATACAATGGAATATTATTCGGCCATAAAGAGAAATGAAGTTCTCATACATGCTCTGAGACAGATTAACCCTGAAAACACTATGCTGAGTGAAATAAGCCAGACACAAAGGACAAATACTGTATGATGATACCGCTTGTATGAAGTATCTAGAATAGGCAATGGTCTAGAGACCAAAGTACACTGTGGCCAACAGGGGCTGGGGGAGAAGGGAATGGGGAGTGCTGCATAACTTATGGGCACTGAGTTTCTCTTTGGGGTGATGAAAAGGTTTTAGAAACAAATAACCAAAAAAAAAAAAAAAGAAAAACCCAAACCGATTGCCATCAAGTCGATTTGGACTCATAGCGCCCCTATAGGACAGAGTACAACTGCCCCACAGGGTTTCCAAGGAGTGGCTGGTGGATTCAAACTGCTGACCTTTTGGTTCGCAGCCGAGCTCTTAACCACTGCACCACATGGTGAATGTGACTTTGTCACTGAATTGTACACGTAAAAATGGCTGAAACAGCCAATGTTTTGTTACATATATTTTACCACAAAAATATCTTTTAAAAAGAAAGAAAAACCTGAAATGACCAGAAAAATAATTGACCCAAATCCCTTAAAAATTGGCTGCAATTAGACCACCCGTGCATACAATTTGTTTCCTTGTTGACATTCAAACAGCAAATAGGAATAACCACCTGTTACTAAGCCTGGCTGTGGCCTGCAAAACTACTTCAGGATGAGTCTGTTTATTTTTAGAGAGAGAGAAAAGTGACATAATAATTCGCCTGTACTCATAAATTATCCCTTGCCTGGGGCTGCTTTGGTGAACTGGAGCTAAAGTCGTTCTTAGCTTTAACATGCTGGCTGTAGTCCTGAAAATTCCTGCATGGTTTACATTTAACCCAGGGACAGATTAACCAGTAAGCAAGGTACACACAAGCTTACAGTAAGCAAGGCATGCATGGGCTTAATTGTGTTTACGTATCTTCAGTAGACAATTTCACGTGGGTTTCACATCTTTGATATAGTGAACAACAGGTGAAATTGTGCACTACAGATTAGTAAGTAAGCACAAGTAAGCCCGTGCGCACCTTGTTTATCGGGTCATCTGTCCCTAATTTAACTACATTTCTCCGCAGGCCCAACAGAGCCGTGCTCACTGGCTGGTCTGATGCTGCTTCACACTAGCTTGGTGTTCAAACAGGGCACCTTCAACCCAGGGGGGCATCCACATTGCCCACCACCCCCAGGGCCCAGGCACAGGGAGGGAGATGTGATGAAAGTGAATTCATCCTCAGGAGAGCCCCTTAACCGAGCCAGCCAGCTGGTCTTATCTCCCCGCCATCCAGTTAGTCAGAGCCTCCACCTGCCCCCATTCAGTCTCATTTTGAAGCAGAAGGGTTCTCCAGGCTGCTGCCTCCAATTCCTCTCCACAGGGACTTTGCTCACAAATAAGCCCAGTCAGTTTGTGTACTGAAGCAGTGCTCCCCAAACCCCAGTGTGCATGGGAAGGGTGCGTAGTGCCCCAGTTGGTCTGAGGGGGTTTGAGACCAGGAGAGGGAAGGCTCACCCGCCTCCCACCAGGAAGTGGAGATGAGAAATGTACACAGTCCCTGAGCCTATCTGTGCAGCGGAGTGCTGTGGGAGGGGTGGGGATGATAGCACAGTGCACAATGGAGCTGGGGCAGATTAACCAGCAGCTCTGGATTCATCTGTGATAAAAACTGAGTTCAAAAAACAAACAGGAAGCTAGGAGTGCCCAGCCATGGCCCCAGTCACCCAAAGCCAGGGAGTAAATAACTGCTGCTCTGAGGCCTGATGTCTGGACCTGCTTCTCTGCATACTGCTAGTACCACATCCCCTACTCCCATTGCCCCAGCACTCTCTTCAGTGCCTGGGACACACTAGGCTTACCCACCTCAGGGCCTTGGCCTGGGCCTGGGATGTGCCTTCAGGGTCTTCTCATGGCTGCTCCTTCTTATCAGTAGGATCTCAGTTTACATATCACCTCCTCAAAAAGGCCCTCCCTGACTATTTCATCTAAAGGGACCACCCAGCCACACCCTACCATGCCTTCGAGGATCATCTGTTGCTACAACATACCCCATGGGGGTAGTGGTGGTTCAGTGGTAGAATGCTTGCCTTTCATGTAGGAGATCTGAGTTCAATTCCTGGCCAATGCACCTTATGCACAGCCACCACCCATCTATCAGTGGAAGCTTGTGTGTTGCTATGCTGCTGAACAGGTTTCAGTGCAGCTTCCAGACAAAGACAGACTATGAAGAAAGGCATTAAAACAGTGTAGGGGCCAGAAGGCAGAAGGGGACAAGGAAGCTGGTGATAGGGAACCCAAGGCTGAGTAAGGATATTGTTGATGTGTTGTGAGATTGTTAACCATTGTCATAGGGCAACATTTGTAGTAACTGTTAAAATGAGAAACTATTTTGTTCTGTAAGCCTTCATCTTAAGTGAGAATAATAGCACAATTCGAAGAGCGTAGTCAGTGTCACTGAACTGTGTATGTAGAAACTTGTGAAACGGTGTATCTTTGGCTATGTGTATTTTCACCAAAAAAAAAAGGTTGAGAAGTTAGAGGTTTAATATGTTGTGGGGTTGTTAACCAATGTCATAAAACAACATGTGTTCTACTGTTTCATGAGAAACTATTTGTTCTGTAAGCCTTCCCCTGAAGTACAATAAAATATAAAAAAAAAAAAAAAAAAAAACAATGTAGGAAAAAAGGCTTGGCTTGCTACTTCAGAAAATCTGCCGATTAAAACCCTATGGAGCACAGCAGTCTGATCTGCAACCCATCATGAGGATGGCGCAAGAGCTGGTAGTGTTTTGTTCCACCATACATGCGGTCACTGTGAGTCGAGGACCAACTGGACAGCAAGTAACAGCAACATACCCCAGCCTGTCCTGAGCGATACAAAGGCACTCAATGAAAGCTTGTTGATGATTGGACAAGAGAAGCCCAAGCCACCCAGGGATGGAGTAATCATTCCTGATGGAGAGGGAGAAGCGGTGTGGTGGATAAGGACTCACAACTCAGACACCAAGTGGGCCAGAGATACCGTTGCAAAGGTGAGTTGAGGCTTAAGCAAGGGGCTTTTTTCACTCAAGGGAAGAGAGAGCCAATGCTCTGCAGTGACAGAGCACCAAAGACTCCTGAGAAGGCATTGCCCTACAGGAAGCACTGCTTCAGGAAGCCAGTTACTGTTCCTGGACAGTGGGCTCACTTAACACTTACACCTTCTGCCCCTCCCCGCATGAGCACACAGACTATCTGGAGCGGTGCTTAGTGGATAGAATGTGTGAAGCATTTGTTTAAGGAATCAAAGAATAAAAACGTCAGGCGCTTGTTGTTAGTTGCTGTCGAGTTGGCTCTGACTCATGGTGTCCTCATGTACAACAGAACAAAACATTGTCCAGTCCTGTGCCATCTTCATGATCGTTGGTATGTTTTGAGTTCACTGTTGTGGCTACCGTGTCAATCCATCTCATGGAGGGTCTCCCTTGTTTGCGTTGACCCACTCACTTGGTTTTATTTATCATCTCTCTCTCACAAAGGTACTGAGAGACTGAGCAGAATGGTTTCTATTACTCCAATGTGTATTTTACTCAGCTTGCATTTGTGTTTGCTTTCCTGGGATAAGAGGACTTTTCCAAAGTTCAAGCACACTCCCTGATACTCCGACAGCCCCATTCAGACAGAAGCACACCATGCCAAAAGCCTTCCTCTGCCCTGAGCATTCATCACACTAATTTCAAAGTACCCAGTTCCTTCTATCGGAATCTGAAGACTCTCAGTATTGCCAAGCCAAGGTAATAAAGACAGCCAGGCCTCCTCCCAAGTCCTGTTCCTGTTAACAGATCCAGCAGAGGATGTGGATTCCTCCCCAAACAAAGACAAAAAGGCACAGGTTATCTGCCAGGGGCTGAGGTGCAAAGGCCACTGTGAACACCCTCAGGGACACACAATACCTGTAGGTAATCCTCACTTCGGTACCAGGCTCATCTTGCTCCCAGATCAAAGCAACACTCTCCGGGGACTTCTGAACATGCTGGTCCAAGCAGTTGACTGCACAAAAACAAAAAGGTTTATGGACATTACACGTGTTGCTTTTAGCATAAAATCAGTGGAGTGTCTCGTTTGCTGTGACTTGCTTGACTCTTCACTGAGGTGGACCCTTCCCTCATCAGTGAGGTTTTCCACTTCCTGGCAAGAAAGGTGCTCACCAGACCTGTGAGAACAAGGGTGATCACCACACAAAGAATCTCTCAAAGGGGCATGGTGATCCCGCAAATATTCTGAAACTGTCCCTTCCGGCCCCGTTAGCATCGTCCGGGGAACTTTTATAAGTACGGAAGCCAGACTACCCCAGAGACTCCAGCTCAACTGGCCCAGGGTTGGACCTGGGCCTCGTTTTAAAAGCTCCCTGGATGATCCCAGTGTACAGGCAGGGTTGAGCACTGCAGCCAGGCTGCTGGAAAGAAGACTTAACACAAATAGGACGCTCCTGTTTTTAGTACTCGGTGCATTCCATGAATTCTCATTTGCCCAGAATTAATCTTGCCCCACGGATTTAAGGTGCAGTCTAGGAGGACCAAGGAGTCAAGTCCTTTCTCAGGTATACAACCAGCAGCCCTACAAGCCAGCTTCTGCCCCCAAGAAGTGATACAACAGGGAAAATGCCATCCTGGTTTTCCAGAAGGCCCTGCTCCCCTCCACGTCTCATTATCCAAGCTCAAATCACATGACCTGCCCACAAAAACAGAAAGTCAGTTCTGCTCTTTACCATAAACCTGAAGATTAATAAGATCATGTTTCCTACACGTTGCTAACATCCTGTTTGTTATTAATTGATTTCAAAATGAGCTTAACTCTGGCTGGCTAAAGCCAGAGCCCCTTCCAACCCTCAAGCCAGGTTTTCACTACTCAGTTTCCCACCAGTGGCCCCAGGCCTGGGGGGAAAATGGGTACTCTGAATAGTTTTGGGGACAGCAGCCCTCTGCCCACCAGGTCTCTCAGGGTCCCCACAATGTCCTGGTCTCAGGAAAACAAGCATCATATTGAATCAGGCCTCAGTATCCCATCTCCATGTGTGGGCGCATGCACTCCCACATCACACCCTCAACTTCTCTTTAGCAACCAATCGGGAACCAGCCATCCTAGCTCTTTCCAAACCTCCCAGCACTCTGGCACTCTGGCAGCTGCTGACCTCAAAGAGGGAACCGATTCCACGTGTTCACTCTCCAGGGAACGAGGTCCATTCCCATAGTTGCACTCAAGTTGCCTTCTGCTCACCTTGGACTGACAGAACACCCCTTAGTGCCCACCTTCCCATCAACCCATTTCTCCGCCAATGACAGTGCTGTTCACAGCTGAGGCTCAACTCTCAAGCCTCCTGCGTCCTCTTGGTCTCTACTCCCCACAACACCCAAGCATGGAGGGTCCCCAGGGATCTCACTCATTCCAAAGAAGGGGAAACTAGAGGTGAATGAGAGACAGCAAAAGACTGCAGGAGTCAAAATTCCAACAGCATTCTTTACAGAAATAGAAAAACCAATCCTTAGCTTTATATGGAATGGCAAGAGGCCCCAAATAGCTACAACAATGTTGAAAAAGAAGGACAAAGTAGGAGGACTCACACTTCCTGATTTTAAAACATACTGTACAGCTACAGTAATCAAAACAGCCTGGTACTGGTACAATAGACATATAGACCAATAGAATAGAATTGAGAAATCCACATATCTATGGTCAACTGATTTTTGACAAGGGTGCTAAGTCCATTCAATGGCAAAAAAAGAGTCTCTTCAATAAATGGCGCTGAGGAAACTGGATTTCTACATGCAGAAAAATGAAACAGGATCCATGCCTCACACCATATACAAAAACAAATTTAAAATGGATTAAGGACCTAAATGTGCAAAATAAAACCATAAAATTTTTAAAGAAAATGTAGGGGCAACACTGTTGTGCCTAGCTTTTAACAATGGATTATACAATATAATAACATAAGTACAAACAACAAAAGACAAAATAAATAAACAGGAACTCATAAAAATTAAAAACTTTTGTTCATCAAAAGACTTCACCAAAAAAAGTGAGAAGTCATGCTACCAACTGGAAGAACATCTTCAGAAACCATATATTTGACAAGAATTTAACAACCAAAATATATACAATTCAAGTTTTATAACTTCAACAACTTAACAACAAAATACAAATAACTCAGTTATAAAATGGTCAAAGGACTTGAATAGACATTCACCAAAAAGGACACTCAAAGGCCACCAAACACATGAAAAGATGCTCAGTGTCATTAGCCATCAGAAAAATGTAAATCAAAACCACAATCAGACACCATTTCACTTCCACTAGGATAGCTAGGAGCCCTGGTGGCACAGTGGTTAAGAGCTACGGCTGCTAACCAAAAGGTTGGCAGTTGGAATCTACCAGCTGCTCCTTGGAAACCCTCTGGGGCAGTTCTACTCCGTCCTATAGCGTCACTATGAGTTGGAATGGACTCACCGGCAAGGTTCTTTTTTTTTTTTTTTTTTTAGGATGGCTAAGATTTTAAAAAAACAGAAGATAACAAATGTTGGCGAGGATGTGAGGAAATTGGAACCCTTATCCACTGCTGGTGGGAATGCAAAATGGTACAGCTGGTGTGGAAAATGATGTGGCAGTTCCTCAAAAAACTAAAAATAAAACTACCGTATCACCCAGAAATTCTATTCGTAGGTATATACCCAAAAGATTTGAAAGTAGGATTCAAAAAGAGACTTGTAAACCAAAATGTGGAAACGACTTAAATGCCATCAACAGATGAATAGATTAAAAAAATGTGGTACATACATACAATGGAATACTTCTCAGCCTGTAGGAGAAATGAAGTCTTGATACATGCTATACAATGGATGAAGCCTGAAGACATTATGCTGAGTGAAATAATCTAATCACAAAGGACAAATATTGTAGACCTCACTTACATAAAAAGACAAGAAAAGGCAAATGTATATAGACCAAAGTTTATTAGTGGTTACCAGGGGTGGGAGAGAGGAGATAAGGGGGGTGTCTTAGGCTATGTTCTCGAGAGAAGCAAAACCAGTAAAGCATATAAATATCTGTATAAAGAGTTTTATATCAAGGAAACGGCTCACACAGTTGTAGAGTCTGGAATGTCCCAAATCTGTAGGTCAGCCTGGAGGCTTCTCCTGATTCAAGGGCTGGCAAACCCAAGATCAGCAGGTCAGACAGCAGGATTCTTGCTCACAGGCTGCGAAGACCAACAAATCCCAAGACTGGCAGGCAAGACCACAGGTAAGCTGCTAACTCAAGTTCCAAGGTCAGACAAACAGAAGCCAGCTGCAGGATCCACAGCAAGCAAAAGCCCACAAGCCTTGCCAGAGAGTCCACTTATATTCAGTGCAGGCCACACCCCCAAGGAAACTCCCTTTTGACTGACTGGCTACTCAAAGCAAATCCCATCATGGAAGTGATCACATTATACCAAATCTTCTCATGGAAGTGATCATATCATATTATCATACGATTGCCAAACTACATCATAACTACCAAATCACTGAGAATCATGGACCAGCCAAGTTGACACATAACTTTAATGATCACAGGGGTGTTAATGTGATGGAAAATCACATTGATTAAGGGTAGGGTTGTACAGCTGATTACTGTGATTGCTGTCAATAAGTTCTACACCTGTAAAAAGTTCAACTGGCAAAAGTTGTTTGATAGATAAATTTCAACAATGACAAAAAAAAAAAAAATAGAACCCGCTGAGGCTGCCTATGTACAACCAAACACATCATGGGATTTAGTTTCTTGGTTTGGAAGTTTAGGGTCATGGTTTCCTGGGACATTCCAGTTAATTGGCCTAATAACATGTTTAGTGCTTCTGTTTTACTGCCTAGTTAGTTGCGTAGTTCCTGGGGTCTTAAAAGCTTGCAAGCGGCCATTCAGAGCATGACAATTGGCGTCTATTTGTCTGGAGCATCAGAAGAAGAAGGAGAGTCAGGAATAGGAGGAAGATATGGAATATGTGGCTAATTGGCTCCATGAACAACTACCTCCTTTGCCATGAGACCAGAAGAACTGGATGGTGCCTGGCTACCATTACTGAACATTTTGATCAAAGATTCCATGGAGGAATCCTGATCTAAAGAGGGAAAATGCAGAACAGAGTTTCAAATTATCATGGACTCTAGGCTTTCTGGAGCCATGGAGGGTGGATGAACCCCTGAAACTACTGCCCTGAGATAATCTTTAAAACTTAAACCAAAAATATTCCCTGAAGTCATCTTAAAACAGAATGATGGGATAGTTAAGCTTAACTAGTAATAAAAAGGTCTGCCTTGAAGATAATGGTCTTTTAAGAACTATCTATATGGGATAAAGTTGGAAACAGCAACTAGAAAGATTTGATAGAACTTTGGGAGCAGTGAGTTTACATGAATGAGGGTGGAACAACTCAGAAAAGGAGGGTGAGAATGGTTACACAGCTCAAAGAACGTAATCAATGTCACTGAATTGTCCATGTTGAAACTGTTGAATTGGTGTATGTTTTGCTGTGTATACTCTGAACAACAACAAAATAAATAAAATTTAGGGAAAAAATGAACAGAGAAAAAGAAAATTTATGGGATGGAGCTGGTGAGTGAAGGAGTAAGGGAAGGCATGGTCCTGGCCGCAGAGCTCACTGTCAGCTATAGGCTTCCAGGCTCCTGCATCACCTCACCAAAAGTCCAAATCAGACCACCGAGGAGCCAGCCATCCCCACCCAGGACATCCCCTCTAAAGGTGTTCATGCTGACATCATCCTGGTTGCTGCGGCCACCCTGCCCAAGCCCACTAAGCGCTCCTGCCTCCTCTTCTGGCAGGTATATGCAGGCCTTGCCCGGTGAGCAGGTTCAAGGCAGAGAGGTGAAGTTGACATCCCCATGTCCGTGACTTCAATATGGTAGCCATGAGCCACATGTAGCCATCAGAAACCTGAAGCACAGCTAGTCCTAGCTGAGATGTGCTGTAAGTGGAAGAAAACACACACGGGGTTTCAA